CCGCCAGGTCATGTACCTCAACTGCTGGAGCCAAGGCTAATCCTAACTACTCCATCCAAATCCAATCCACAAATGATGATGGTGACTTTGATATTCTGATGAAAAAAAACTGTATATAGTTTTGGTTATTTCTAGTCATCTGTGTCAATATTAGAGACTGTTCGTTCAAAAAAAGATGAAACAAAGAGTTTCGATCATGTAAATCCTCTGTTTCAGTTTCGATAATCTGAAACCACCGTTGCTCTCTCGAATTCTAATCAACTTTTTCTTTCTTTCCATATGAAATCTTGATTGTGATTACCACTAATTCAACTTAATCCACTGTGAATAGAATAACATTCTCAATTAATTAAATTAAAGTAACTCGATAATAATCCCAAAAGATTCCAAAACCATCATTATCCAATGGGACAGCAAAGTCAGTCTACTTCATAATTTTATTTTATTTTATTTTGTGGTTGCCATAATTTTGCACCAATGACTAATTTACGGAATTTTATCTTTGATTAAAAATAAAAATGTGCATTCTAGGCCTAAATTACGTGAGGCCCAATAAATGGCCTTTGAGAAATAAGAGAAACTCTTGGGCTTGTTGGGCCGTGGCCCATATGGAATAACTTTACTTGAATGAAATCGGAGCGTGTCTGCTTCATCCAACGGTCCAAGTCTCACGACGCTCCTTCAATGGAGTTGGTAACGTCTCCTTCTCTTCCAACGGTCAAATAATCCTCAAGAAATACTCCCTCCTCCATCTTTCTCCTTCTTCAGTGCTCAATTCATTACCCAAACCCTAATTCAGATCGATCGCTCTGAAAATGACTTCAACGGAGCCAACAGAATCGCTCAACGCTCCCAAGCTTCAGATCTGGAACAACGCTGCTTTCGACGATGGAGATTCCAATGTCAATTCCGCCATCGAAGCTTCTTGGTCTAACCTCCCTCCCGATTTCATCAACGAATCATTCGATTCCGATTGTAGCAAAGAGAATCAGATTCCACTTTCGGTATCCTCATCTCTCAAATCCTCAGTCTCGTTCACCACTGATCCGCTTCGCTCCGGTAATGTCCAAGAAAAGCCACCGAGGTCCTGGTGCGAAGCTCCGTCATCAAAATCCAAGACGGTGAAGGAAAAATACGGTGCGGATCAGATCAAAAGGCGTGACGATCGAGATATTGACGCAGAGATCGAAGAAGTAGAAAAGGAAATCGGACGATTATCGACCAGATTGGAGTCGCTCCGATTAGAGAAAGCCGAGCAAACCGCAAGAAGTATTGCTATACGAGGAAGAATAGTTGCGGCGAAGTTCATGGAATCTCAGAAACAGATAGTCAAATTCGACGATTCGTCTTTCACAGGTACCAAACCAAAAACCACCACCCGTAGAGGCGTTAGTCTTGGACCAGGGGAGATATTCTCTGCTTCGAAGAAATCCGAAACGGTGACTCCTCTTCAACCGGCTCAGAATCGACGCAAGTCTTGTTTCTTTAAGCTTCCTGGCATCGAGGAAGGGAAAACAACAAAGCCTAGAGGACGAACGAGTTTGAGCCTGAGTCCAAGATCTCGTAAAGCTGCATCGAAGCACACGGCAGCTCAGAAGCAAGCAGCGACTACGGTGGGGTCAAGGAGAGCGGTGAAGAAAGAAGAAGGTGTTCTCTCTTCAATCCAGCCTAAGAGGCTTTTTAAAGAAGAGGAAAAGAATGTTGCTTTAAGGAAACCATTGAAACCAGGAAGAGTGGTGGCTAGTAGGTACAGTCTGATGAGCAAAACTCTGACTGCGGAGAAAGATGCAAGGAAACGTTCGTTGCCTGAGAACGAAGGGAAAGAGAACCACAGGTCGGAGAAGAGAAGAGCTTCTGATGAAAATAGCAGCAAGAGCGAGGGCAGAGTGAAGAAGAGATGGGAGATTCCCAGCCAAGTTGATGTGTATAGCAGTGGTGTGAATGATGAGACTCCTATAGGCAAGGAGCTACCTAAGATCAGAACGCTTCGTAGTGTGGGAGAGAGCCCTCGTGATTCAGGTGCTGCCAAAAGAGTTGCGGAATTGGAAGGCAAAGATCGTAGTTTCGCCTTTTGCCAGCTTCTCAAGTTTGAAGAATGAATGGATAGAGATATCATCAATTTGAGTAAAAAACACAACTCTTGTTGTGGTGGTGAATCGATTGTGAA